AATCCAGTGTTTTGTGACGTCGGTATAGGATATTTCAATTACGCAAATATAAATGAACTCGAAAAATAAATTGACAAATGCATAGTTTTACTGAGGTGCTATTCTTACAGTAATGTTACTCCATACGTACCTAAAATGTACATATAAAATGTATATTCAGTCCAATTAGTAGATAAATTGTGTTAACCTGCTATGTTTTATAAAATCAAATTTTACTCATTTGATTGTAAATTCATACACCTATTTGTATATAATCTACATAGATGCTAATGGGCTGTTGTTTCCTCGTGTCATGTGGGCCCACAGTGAAAAATTTTAAAGAGCAACAACAAATGCTTGCAAATCGTTCCACGCGAAATATAATAACTCATTTAGTTCTTGTCATCCTAATCGTTTTACCTTGTCGAAATATTAAAGAAATTTATCTTTATGTAAAAATTTTGGTTTTTTTCATCAAGAAAAACACCATACTTAGAAATTATGAAAAAAAAAACCTCCAATAAAATTTTACCAACTTCATGGAGGATAAAGCGGGGTAGGTGTGATAATATTTCCAGGTAGCGGGCGCAAGTCAGAACATTCACCTGCAGTAAAATGTTCGCAATTCGGATTTTTTGCGCTCGAAACCTTAGGTTAAGGGCGCAACTCGGACACGCGGAATTTTAATTTCAGAGTTTCGTAAAACAGCGCAGATTCTTTTTAAAGAGGGATGTCTTGATCTCAATTCTTGTTTTAGTATTGTGAGTGTAAATGTGTATTAAAATTGGTACGTAAAGTTTTGTTTGTAAGGCAACTGTTCGAACAAAAATATCGCGCATTCGACGCCACTGCCCCCCTCAACGAATCTAATTTGTGTAAGACCAGTTAATTAGCAATTTTCGAATTTGAAATGTGGCGAATTTATTAACGCGTGCTATTTTTCTTTTATTTTATTTTTTTTGTAAATTTGCAATTCATGTTAAGATTTTTTTTTCCTAACATAATTTGATTACAGTAATGGAAATGATCCCATAATGCACGTGACAGGAAATCACTTATTCAGGCCCAACTTATTTTAATACTTAGTTTAGTACTGCATATTTTTTATTTAAGTTATTATTTTGAGAGAAAAGATGTTAAAAATGATTGTCAGTTCAATGAATATCATCGTGAACTCGAAAACCGGACGGCTTTAATATTTCCTTGCAGGTTGAACATTTGGTCTCTTTTGATCATATTGAATATGTGGCTGTCGTGTTTATTTCATATGTGCATTGTTTTACAGGAACTGCGAATGCATTCGGTCCACGATGTGCTGTCCTGACTTTTGAAATTTAAATTTCGCGCTAAAAAAACGTACCGAGGCCGCATTAAAAAAAATAAATAAATAAATTAAGCGTGTCAGTCAGTGACGTACGCAACCATGACTAGAGGAGTGCAACTCTCGGTTTAGCGTAGAAGGGGAATGGAGTGTAGGGCAATGCAGGTAGTTTTCAGAGAGAGTGTCTTGGTCGTTGGTTATTTTGTACTACTAGTGAAATGACGTTTTTAAGAATTGTTAGGTCAAATTTCATAAAAGTGGTAATTGTTTAAAGAAAATGATTCGCATCCGACGCCACAGTCTCCCACCAACGGTTGTATTATTAATAACGTTTTTTTCTGTTGATGTTAAGATTTTTAATTGTTTATTTCACAGTCGTGTAAATGTCCATATAAGCCACGTGTCAGGAAATTCACATATGCACACTTCATTCTTTTGTGTGTCACGTTATATGTAAAATTTCTGGATTTTTTACTTCAGTTATTAATTATTTATTACGTTATCCACACTCTATAATTTCTCAGCCAAGATTTAGGCAATTTAAACTAATCTTACACTTTGATCCATTTTGAGAGAAAAGACTTTCTAAATCTCATCTGCATAAAATAATAACATCGTGGGCCCGGGGATCTCAGGATTTAAATTGTGCTTGCATTTTATTATAATTTGTGTATCACCGTTCAACAAGCTGAATTTGAAGTTGTTATTGCTGAGATGCGCATCAAAACCGCCTTATTTTGATTTCTATTGCATTTGATATTTGTTTGCTGAATTAACGCATAATTTAAACATTTAATATTTCCTGTAAATTCTTTCTTTTTTAAAGTTCTTGCTATAGTGTGGCGTAATGAAGATTTGTTTCCTTTGCAGTTTTAGTAATTTTAATTTATTTAATCACTACCATAACATCGGAAGTACAAATTTCATATTAATGCGGTCATATGTATAATGTATAAAAGGTATGTTAACACGGATAATTTCCTGTTTATTCTCAACTTAGCACCTTTTAATCAAAAATAAACAAAATGATTGCTTTGAAGGTTAACTGTCAATTGCGGAAAAGTTAGTAGCAGGAATTTTGAGGTAAGCTGTTTTGTAAACCTTTTTTTTCCGTTTTAAATTCCTTTGGGGTACCTACTTCTTCGTGGAATGTGCTTGTCCTTTGGTCTGGCAGTCCGGGAAAAATGGATGATACAGTTAATTATGAAACAGCCTTGTGAGGGTGAGTATGTGTAGCTCTCGAAACGCAGTGCAACGTAACATAACGCCGCAAACTGATAAGAGTTCGATCAGATGAGATCAGAGCCATCGTTCCCGTCGTCGCGATTTATCATTTGGACTCCCGACACAGTCTCGTCTTTTGTTAAACTACCATATCTGAATTTGGCACCACACTACCGCAATGACGTAGTATTTGCATCCAGATACTATAATGCAGATGTCTCATTTTTTGTGTGTCTAAATTTGTAATATTCAAACAATTATATTGATTCGTAAGATTTGATTGTTAAAGTCTGGAGAGGGTTTTTCCGTTGGGGAATAAGTGCTCCTACTGAACAGTTAGGCTTATTTTACAACTGTTTTGCCTCCCAAGAATTGAACAATAAATAATTTTTTCCTTATATTTTGTGTTTAGCACCTTGGAGCCACTTTGCATTTAAACGCATTCCGCTATAACAAAAAAAAAACAAAAAACAAAACAGAGTTTCATTTTGTTGACGATCACACTTCAAGGATAGGAGATTTTAACTTTAACCGAAATAAAAGCATGGGATCGCAACCAAATGTTGAGTTTTTTCTCGTTCGCATTTTTCATGTAAATGTTTATCTGAAAAATCGGGTTTTCGCCGCCGTGAATCAGACCAACTAGTTGGCTGTCTCTGCAAGGATAGAAGTAAATCTCAGGAATTAGTCGCACATCGCCCGTTATATTAGATGTACTTAGTGAAAATAAACTTTTACACGATCTGGATAATGGCGAAAAACAATATGATTTTTTCAGCATTTGAAAATTTTCAATTCAGAATCTGCTTCAAAATTCAGACTTAGTTTTGCTTTTTCTGTACCAGTTTAGGTCACAGCAATTTTTTTTTTGATAATTAGAATTGGAAAAAAAAATTGCCATTTAAAAAACCTGGAAGATGTACAGGGTGAGTCACTAGGCGCACGATCCTCAATATCTCATTGGTTATAAAGATGGAAAAAAAGTGAAAACTAAAGTTGTACGCCTCTTTGAGCTATACACATTAAAATTATTTTGCACTATACAAAGTGTTTTGTTTTCGAGGCATAGCACATAATTTAGGTCTTTTAATAATTATACAGGGTGTTATTGAAATACATGGAAACAAAAAATCTGGTGAATGTAGGGAACCTAAGAAGTCAAATGAACGTTTGTTGTTTTAGTAAAATTTTGAAAGGAAAATTTAACCCCTATCCAAACATTCATTCCTCCACTGATAAATAATGGTTTCACGAAAAAATGTGAAACCTAGTAACTGAAAACTGCCGAGGTGTAACTACTGTTGCTATTAATTTATTGCTAGCAACAAATAAACAATGACAATAATTAATGAACTGACAATTAAAACTTCAAAATCATAATGATGATTAATCAACCATAAAATGAAACAAAACGTAACGTATGCAACTAGAGCAAGTTTTCAAAATGTCCACCACCATTTCGTATACACGCTTCCGCACGTCTAATCAATGATTGTTGCCTTGTTCATGTAGAGTTCTCCACACCACAAAAGGTGAAACTCCCACTCGGTAAGACAATCGTCTAATGCTTATACCTGGATCGTTTTCAACGACATTCAAAATTTCTTCTTGTTCGGGTTTCGGTTTTACCTACCAACCGCAACCCTTGTCAGCAAGCGTCCCCAACTTTCTCTTTTACCTGCAATGTATCGCTTCCGATTTTAACAACTTTGTACATAGACTCCGAACTGTCAACAACAAGTAAATACAGTGTTACACAGCACATGTTTGTGTTTCATTTTATATCAATCTTTTTCGGTACGTATGTATGAATAACAATCATACATCCAACATTGGTCCTTCGAGCCGGATCTCTCCACATGTGTGATCCAGTGCTGTTAATTCAACAATAAAACGCGGTGGTGCCATTTTTTCGACGCCTGTATCGGGAGACGTGATCTACCGGCCATCGGAGTTCCCTACCGGACAGGAGAGCAGCGAATCCAGCCCATCCAGTCGTTTCATCCAAGGTTCCAAGTGACCTTATCACGTTTTTGGTAATTTTCGACGCCTGTATCGGGAGACGTGACCTACCGGCCATCGGAGTTCCCCACCGAGCAGGAGAGCAGCGAATTCAGCCCATCCAGTCAATTCACCCAGGCTCCAGGTGATCTTATTACGGTTTTGGCAATTTTCGACGCCTGCATCGGGAGACGGGATCCAGCCATTGGAAATTCCCAACCGGACAGGAGAGCAGCGAATCAGTCTAGCCGTCCCAGGTGCCAGAGGGCCTTATTGCGGTGAGTGGGTTCCAACTATTCCTTTTCTTTATCTATTTCCGGTCAAGCACGCATTCGACCGTAATTGTACGTCATTTTATTTAAATTTCATTGGCAAGTACCATTTACCTTGCCCGAACTGTACCAGTTTTACGTATTTCAACTAAGCGGTTTTTCAAATGGTTATGACGCGTTCGCAAACTTTCGATACTCCACACATGGCAGGCGCGGAAGGTGACGACAATACCGAAACATTTTCGGACTCAAATCCTACACCAGAGGATGCAGGAAATTTACAAATTTTACTCTTAAAAAGAGATCGCATTCACGACGAAATATCGCGTTTCAAGTTGTGGTTTGAAACAAACAATCTAAGTACATCCGCTTCTCGACTAAGAGTAAGATTGCGCGATTTTGTACGTATTAAGGCTCAGTTTGACAAAATCCATTCTCAGATTGAAGCTCTTGATGACGCCACCCCCGATTTAGAACAAGCTACCACAAGACTTTATTTTGAAAACGCGTATTACGATTTATGTGCAGATGTCGAAGATGCTATTGAACAAAAACGCGTTAACACATCTTCACCTGCACCGCAAGGTAACGCACCTACGAGCACACCGTCACCATCGGTGCAGTTGCTCCCGAATGTTATTAAACCGTTTAGCGGAATTTATACTGAATGGCTACCTTTTTATAATACATTTAAAACACAAAAGGTGTCTACATTTACAGCGGCAGTAAATCGCAATAGTACACAATCCACTTGTTATTTTTGTAAAAAATCTCATTTAATTTACAACTGTGTTACCTTTTCAAAACTCAGTGTTTCGGAAAGAAGGTCTCAGGTAGATAGGTTGAAATTATGTCAAAATTGTCTCAAACCATCGCATACGTCCGATAGCTGTAAATCTATGTCATGTAAATTATGCCAATTGAAACATAATACACTTTTACATAGTGACCAACCCTCCCATTCAAACGAAAACCAGCCTAGTACCAGCGGAGTTTATTGCTCATCCGCCCTTTTTCCACAAGCCGTTTTGTCTACAGCAATAATTCTAATAAAGGATTGTAAAAACAAATTTCAAAAATTCCGGGCTTTGTTAGACGTGGGTTCAGAATCGCATTTTATTACTGAAGCCGCCACTAACAAATTGGGTTTAAGTACAGAAAATGCAAATGTGGTCGTAGCAGGTTCAAATACGACCGCTAGACAAAAGGTTCAGGTACAGATCGAGTCGTTGCATTACTCATTTACAACAGCTTTAAATTGTCTGGTAATCCCAAAAATTTCGAAGAACATACCTGTCCGTACCTTTTCTAAAGATGAGCTGGACATACCTGAAGCGGTAAAACTTGCCGATCCTAATTTCAATTTTTTGTCACAGCCAATCGATCTGTTAATCGGAGCTGGATTATTTTGGCAACTGTTATGTGTAGGTCAAATTCAAACGATAGGACATGGCTTAATATTACAAAAAACTTTATTAGGTTGGATTGTAGGAGGGCCATTGCATGGATGCCCCACCAGTAACACTCGTCAAAATCTACATTGCGCGGTCAATAATGTCAATTTAGAAAACCAGGTTGAAAAGTTCTGGAAACTTGAAAGTTATTCAAACGATGATAAGCCGCTCACAGCTCTTGAAATACAACATGAGAACTATTTTATTAACACTGCCACTCAATTATCCAACGGACGATTTCAAGTCAGATTAACCTTTAGCAAGAGTTTCCCAATTTTGAGGAATTCGAAAGAAATCGCGCTTCAACGATTGTACTCATCGGAACTTAAGTTCGCAAAAAATATTATGTTAGAAATCAACTATCATAATTTTATAAAAGAAAACATTAATTTAGATCACATGCTTTTACTAGGTTCATTGACAGAGCAAAAAATCGAAAGTGAACCCCGTTATTTTTTGCCTCACCATGCGGTTTCCAAAACTAACGGGGTCACTGAAAAGATTTGCGTAGTGTTTGATGGGTCAGTCAAACCATCAGTCGGAAAAAGCATAAATGCTTGTCTCAGTACAGGGTCAAAAGTACAAAACGACATTTCCGATGCAATAATTCGATCTAGGACGCATGAGGTCGCTTTTACAGCGGACATTTGTAACATGTATCATCAAATTTTAATTCATCCCGAAGACAGACGATACGAACAAATTTTGTGGCGGGATGATCCTCATTTAACAACTAACCACATGAATTTTCATTTCATTCCGCCTTCCACACCACATATGGGGAGTGTCTGGGAAGCAGCGGTCAAATCTGCGAAAAGTCAGCTGAAACGCGTTACTGGTGCATTTTTATTTAATTTCCAGGAAATACAGACGTTGCTAATACAAGTCGAAACGTGCTTGAATTCGCGCCTGTTAACCACCATGTCCAAAGATCCATATGACCTAACTCCTTTAACTCCCGGTCATTTCCTCGTTGGAACCCCTCTAACTGTTATTCCAGAGGATAACGTCACCACGGTCTCAACGAACCGGCTCTCCAGGTGGCAACAATTCAGCCGCACTCAGCAGCAATTTTGGAAACGGTGGACAGCAGAACATATGGGTCAACTTCATCATCGCCCAAAATGGACCAAGGCCAGCCGCCAATGTTGGATGTATGATTGTTATTCATACATACGTACCGAAAAAGATTGATATAAAATGAAACACAAACATGTGCTGTGTAACACTGTATTTACTTGTTGTTGACAGTTCGGAGTCTATGTACAAAGTTGTTAAAATCGGAAGCGATACATTGCAGGTAAAAGAGAAAGTTGGGGACGCTTGCTGACAAGGGTTGCGGTTGGTAGGTAAAACCGAAACCCGAACACTTCTTCGGCATCAAGTGTCCGTTCTGTCCTTTCACGACCACGATCACTAAAACGAGGTTGAAATTTCCCATTTTCTCGTAGACGCTGAACAACGTTAGCAAATGTTTTATGATTTGGCAATCTTCGTTCAGGAAATGCTTCTTGGTATAAACGTCGAGCTTCCAAAGAGTTTCCTAAGGCTTGTCCATACATCAGAACCATGTCAGTCATTTCAGAATTAGAAAAATTCATTTTGTTCTTCCAAAAAATTGCAAAAACGTCAAAAAATGATGGGCTAATGAATGTATTGTCATGTTAACAAGCAACAATTTTACCAACTTTAAATTACTATAGTGATCAAATTTACCTTTAACATTTATGGAATCAGTAGCGCACACGCAAATTTTAACAGATTTTCAATCAATTTTATCTCGAAAACTAAAGGATTTTTATTAGATCAATATTTGATGCATAAATTCTCTACATCATGACCAATTACCTTAAAAAAAGTTTCCATCTATTTCAAAAATACCCTGTATATTTTTACATTTTTTCTACGCCTTCTAACCATGGTAATTATGTTATTCCATTTTTTTTAATTTGTTAGTTGTGTAAAGGTTTACAAAAAAATTGCAATAACCTTTTTACGATCTGTGCTGTAATATTTAATATAATATAAGTAAAATTATAATATACATAGTGTTTATGTAAAATATAAATGGTTACAATTTTTTAATATCGATATTTGAGTTTTTCAGATAGCGCATTTGTTTGTATTTTATTATTTGTATTGCTCTATTTTTTTTTCTTTCTTTCAATATATCGTAAAATATCTCAATATTTATCAATTTTAAATACAGAAAAGACTTAACGAAAAAGAAAGAGGACAAAAACTGAAATAACATAACAACAATAATATACACGGTGTGATAACCCAAACAACCCGCCTTAAATTGATATGTGAAAAAAAACTTCGAAAATTTGGCCTTGGCTATGATCGTCTAGCAAAATGGAACCCTACATTGTGTGTTTTTTTTGTGGCGGAATGCGTTAAGATGCAAGTGGTGGACTCCAAAGTTCGAAAAGTACCGCTAAATAAAAGACAAAATATATGAAGAACACAAAACGTTTGTTCCTCCACTGACAAAAAAAAAAAAAGAAAAAAAAAGCTGCGACTAAGTCGCGCTAGTTCAAGACCTCTTAGTTCTCAGTTACAAAAAAAAACTTGCCTATAACTTCGAATGAAATCAAATTAAACGTTCTAAATCAATGTGTAATATTTAAAGATCACAATTTATTGAAAAAAGAAAACAAAAATCTGAGTCAAAGTATCTGAATGCAAATACACAAGTTATTACGGATGTGTGGCAGCAAATTTAAAATTATGGCAGTCAACAAGAGAACAAAATTTTAATAAGTAAAAACTCTATGCTGCGGGGTGCACAGTGACAGCAGCACCAGAGCGCCTCCTCGTGAATGCCTATGACTACAGAAGTTAAGAGGGCACCCGGGTCGTTATAAGAGTGTGGCGATCGAACTACATATATCAATTGCATTGTAGAGCACAGCAGAATTACCCATAGGTGGCGTTGTAGCACGAGCAGAGTTTGGGGCTCCTGGTTGTGGCTGTTCTTCCACCACGACGATGATTCTACTCTATTCTATCGGCAACCACATGCCGCTCAGCACCCCTCTATCACAAAGAAACGTGCCGCGTAATAACAGGTTATTACGGTCACAAACTCGTGGTTGAAAATCCCGGCTATTGGAGCAAGCCGAGAGCGTCACGTCATTCCGACGGCTCTCCTAAGTTCTATTCAAGACCTGCGTCTTTTGCAGTGGCGGCTCGTGAGTGTCTGATGTGGTGAGGCGATGATAGAAATTTGACAATAATAATATTAATAATCAAATTAATTAAATTAATGTGATTAGTGCATATTACTTGGTCTTACTAGTTAGTAATGATAGAAGTCTTGCCCGAATACCGGTCATTTCCGGGTCAGTGGTAGGTCTTAATAATAATAATAATAATATTAATAATAACACCCATAACACATTTAATCAACAATGTTTTTACAAGTCAAAATTTTGTTTAAACTAGCACTTTCTTGGAGAGATTCGGGAATAGTTGTTGTGTTCCTTTCTAAAGGCCCATGAAATTTTTAATGTGTACTTTGGAACTTTCATGTAACTTTGCACTTCGGATGAAATTATTTAAATCGTACAAATATTACGGCAGAGCCATTTATATGTTTCGTACCAAGTAGATTTAAAAGACTTGGAGTACTACTGACGGTTCTGTCTCTTATCAGTGGAAGTTAAATGAATTAACCGTTTTGACTGCTCGATATTTAGTAAAATTTGCCGACGTTCTAGCTTGGTTCGCCGTGAAAACGGCGTTTCAAGAAGGAACCTGACGATATGGTACTCGAGATTCATTTTTCACTCACCTGTACCTATGAAACAGACAAAAACACGAAACATCAACACGTGGGCTTTTACTCACATTCATGCTAATTACCCACGCACCCCACAGCCCTTCCGTTTTGTAAAATAAATGGGAAAATGGTTTAATGAGTACGCCGAAAATGGTCGAGAAGCACCGAAGATATCGCCTCAGTTCCGAACGAACGCATGTATAGGAGTATAGGAGCTGAGCCATGGAAATCCGTGTCTGTGATTGGGCTTCGTTGATTCAAGTGAACCGACGTTGTGGCCGCTTCAGTTAAAGAACTAGGGGTATAAATCGTACGGTATTCAACCGAAAATGTCAGCAGAAAGCGTAAAAAACAAAAAATCATCAACAGATTTGCCATTTCAACATATTTTTGTAACTAAAAATGCATTGAAAGCTCTTTTTTAATTACAAATTAAGTCAATCCATTCTTAAGATATATGCTGTGAGGCGCCGCCTCACTTGCCTCATCTGACGAGCCGCCACTGGTCTTTTGTGCAGATAGCGCGATAAATCCCACCAGCTCGACTAGGAACCGGGCCCTCCGCTTCTGCCACGTGTTTCTGTGTTATTTACTTCAGTTCCATTTAAATGTTCATTTTCTATAACTCTGATATTAAACTACAACCGAACAAGTGTTAAAGTTTCAAAAAGAAGAATAAACAACGTTTAAATTCGCCATACGCTCTCGTGAAATTTTAAACAGCAAAGAATTCTTATCTGAGATTAAGATTGGGCACTAGACAATTTATATGATGGAAACATTGATAACAAAATATTTACGTGGTAGAAAAAAAACTAGCAAAGATTTATAAAAACAAAAAAGAATCTGGTGTGAAGTAAAACGTGTGCAGACAAAAAAAATACGTGAGGTTAGGAACGATTTACACAGCATGAAAATTTATGTTCAATTTAAATTATACAGCAAAAAAAATTACTGAGGCTAAAAAGATATAGAAAAATTGCATGAGGTGAAAAATTGTAAAGCTAACAAAATTACATTAGGTTATTATATGCCACACGTGATTAACGATTCAAACAAAGAATTTACATGATGTTAAAATTATGTCACACTTTATCAACGATTCAAACAAAGAATTTACATGATGTTAAATTATGCCACACTTTATCCAAGTGACTGGTTACTTAAAACAATTAGCTTTGAGAGTTTATATTGTACACTGTCCCCAGCTTATCCCAAACACATGATAAATAAACACAAAAATGCATCCCTCATCGCGAGAAATATGCGTCTCGGTGATGTGATAATGATGATAACTGCCCACGGGAAAAAATTTTAACCCCCGTCCTTCAGTCCCCGATATTATGAATTCTACCGCACTTTCACGGTCCTTTTCCCAGAGTGGGACAACGTTAGGTTAATTTAACTGCCGTAATTGAACTATTAGCAATTTTGTATGCAGAATTAAGAAGTGGTATAATGTAACACTTCAGTTTAAGCATCCAGAAACCATATTTATAACTTGATAAACAAAGGATGAGTCCTGGCTAAGTGAATTTCTTGAAATCTCCTAGCAAGTGCTTTATCTGAACAATTTCATGACTGTTAAATTGTGTTAGAACCAGTGACGATTAAAATCCTAACATGAATTGTGAATTTACAAACAATAAAAAAAATTTACACCACGTGTTAGCGTCGGTCAAAAATTCGCATATTTCCGCTTAGAAAACAGCAAGAATTAGAGCTATGCTTATTAGGGAAATTGGGGCGTCGCCATGGATACGATTAATTGTCGTCAAACAATGGCTTCCCTCTTTTTTTTAACTACCAAGTCAACTAAACTTAATCTAGCTCCCTTACCGCGTGCTTGCACTCACACCAAACAAATAAAACAAAGTGAGGCATCTCACCCCTCTACCAAGCAAGCCAACCTGTATCAACCCTCTTACCAGATACTACCCAGATATTTCCTAGGAGAGCTACCAACTACCAGAAAAGAACTAAACTTGTACATGGTTGCGTATGTTTAACGATTTTCTTGTATACATTTTTTTTTCAATTTCAAATTAATCAAATGCGATTTCGCACCGTTGTTTTTTTTCAGCGCGAAACTTTAATTCAAATGTGGTCACCACAATACATATTTTTTATACGTACGGTGCAACACTAAGAATAACAGCAGTGTTTCCAGAAAGCCATTTTTGATTCGGTTACCTAATAAAATAAACTGCTTCATTGATTATTATTATTGTTTTAAGACATCTGAATAATCAATTATAGTAATGATCATATTAGTTCTAAAGCATAAACGTAAAGTAACTATTTCAAAACATATTTTTGAAAAAACATTTATTTCAGAAAAATTTAAGACAGAAGCGAAAAAAAGTAATATGATGAAATCTGTTGTTTAAGTGGTCGTTTATTCAGTATACTTTCTACATTTTTAAAAGATATACCCACGATTCATTATTTATTCCCTTATTTCCCTTCTAAATTAAAATTGATTAGACAGTGATGAAGATCTACAAAGCTAACAGTATTTGTGTTTATGTTGTTATTACTGGTTGCCTATCATAAAAGTAAAATCACAAATTACGGTAACCGTAATCTGTGGTAAAATAATCAAGTTATTTTTTATTAGTAGTCAATAACAACGAAAACATAGTGAAAAATCGACACAATTTATCTTTCATTTCCGTAGGAAATTCTACCTTAATTTGATGATTTATAACGATTTATTTTTTAAAGTTTGTGGCAGACAGGTAATAAATGAATCATGATCATGAAAGATATAAACATTTGAAATTAGATGTTAGAACTACAGGTGGAACAAACTAGAAAAGCGGATCAGGTTATCTTGTTAATTTTAAACAACATTTGAACATTTCCTGTTACGTTATCTCTCAATTTTGACGCAACATTCTGTTATTGTATTTGCTGCAACAAAATGAAATTATCTAAGATTACAACGATCGGACGAGTACTCCAAACATAATTGCTTTATTATTGCGACTTATGTATGCAATAATACCAACTATGACATAACGATTTAAAATGAGCGTCGCAACTGCACGCCAAAAAAGTCCTTCAATTCAAAGAACGTTTCAAGAAGGAAGCAGAAGAACTACTACTAACAAAATCTGACCTCGTTGTCCGTGTCAAATGTATGTGTAGAACTTGATTTAGACGAAGGTGACTCCGTTCCTCAGGCAAAGAGACGACAGTGCTTGTGAAACTAAAGTTTCATGCAGACTACTGCAAACCAATACAACTTTGGAGTCTAAATACAACAGGAAACTATAGCGTTGGTGCAGGCTGTGGAAACGTGTGCCGCTCTCTTTTACTAGAGAATCTCCAGATATTTCTGCTCTAGAGCCAAGGTTATAGAAAACATCAAATATCCAGACGTGGAGGACTACAAGAGAGCCGTACAAGAAAGTACGAAAAAGTATGTCTAGTTTTGTCTAGTGATGTCCTATATTAGAAACCATTACTGTTCTTTGCAAGATGTGTTTTTGAAAAATTTGGACAAGCTGAAAGCGCCGCAACCCATCATCTTACAGACTACACAACCAACAAAAACACAGGATATAATAAAGATCTTTTATTACATAAATAACAAACGATAACTTAAAACGGTTTCTGAACACTATTCAATTGCGAATCCGAACGATTAAATCGTGTAATCGTTCCATACCTATGTACACTATTTACATTTGCCTCACTTTTTACTTCAAAATATTTACAAATCTCGCGGACGGCACTGTGTCCATTTAAATTGGATAGATCGTGCATTGACCGAGCACGTTTCGTCGCACCAACTGTCGTCTTGCAAGAAACATCTTCAGTACTTCGAACTTTTCGGCCGAGTTTGCACAGTGACTCAAACAGGATGAGTTTTTCTTTAACTGGGACGTAATTTTCAGAATTTTGACATTTCTTGAACAGGGTTTCGATGGCGGTTTCTTCGAAGATGGGTTCGTTGCTGATGTTGTTACAAACTGTACATTGAGCATCTAGAGGCTCGATGTAGTTTGAGTTGCAGTCTTTGTTGGTAGGTTTCCGGCCCCAGTAGTTGGCTAAAGTGAATATGTCGAGGTACTTTACGTCTTCTAGGGGTGTTTGACGGATCAGTTCTATGGCTATGGTCTTCACCCAAGCTTCGAACGATCGCTCATTGGCAGTCTGGAACAATGTAAAAATTGATTAGTAAGGAAATTACTTTCAAATCTCCTGCATATAAATAAGGATAGGTTGACTTTCAAAATCGAAATAGCACAAAAACTTCCATAGTCGAGTTAATCATGTCCCTAAGTAAACCTTGACTTGTAAATTCTGCACTGCACTTGTAGAATGTTTTAGATATTCGTGATAAAAAAACTCAAATTAAATTACCTAATACAAAGATACGCTAGATAAACAATTAGATAAAGTGTTTCTAATACTTGAGTAAGTGAGTGATTTTGACAACTTAAAAGATTAAAGGATTTTGAGTTAACTGATGCTTTTGTTTACAATAAGAGTGTTATTGCACCAAATTTGGCATTGACATGTAAATCTTATCAAATTTTATTATTATACTAAAAATTCATAAATTAAAATAAAATGGGTTCAAGAAAAAAATCTTATCTCATTAAAATGTGCCACCGAATATTTGGAATTTTTGCTGCATTGAATGTTTTTGTAAACTTTTATTTGTTGTTCTTCACTTTAATTTTGATAACATTACTCAAGTATATATTTGGATGTGTCCGATTTATTGTAACATAATTTATAATCGAGTGATCCTTGGAATTGACATGTCTAACGCTGTTTATTTGACATATACCTAGTAGGGTGGTATAATCAACGACATACTACATTCTTTTCAAGTTATGTTGCTCGCCCAATACATTTGCCGTAAATTTTATCATATGTTATTAATGTTATACAAATCATGGAAATGTTATGTAAATTCTACATCTACTGCTGTTGATGAACTTATCAATTTTTTTTAGTAATACAGTTTTCAGTAACTCGTCGAAGGACAAACAATATTTTCGACCGTCATTAAATCTGGTCTATCATTATCGTTTTTGTACTACACATTTAATGATCTATTAAACTACACAAAAAAATTAAAACAAATATATTTATTTTGTCATCAGAAGTTACCAATATTATACTTTTAATAAGGGGTTACTTTTTTTACTTCCTGGGCGTAATATTTTGCCGAATGACTAATTTAATGTCTATTCAACGTCTAGAGCCAGTCTCCCATTTCCATTTGCCTATGGTTGCTGTCCGTTGCCAATTTCTACAATATTTTCATAGGAAACATTACCAAAACGACTCATTTTCATTTTAATGACATTCAAAGTTTAGTTGAAAAATGATCATGAAAATTAACTTCATTCTTAATTTGACATTTCTAATCAGTCTGTTTACACTGGAGTGAAATTATCTAATTAAAACTTTGTAATAAAAATAGCGACATCAAAGAAAGAAATATTAACAATTTAACTGAGTCGCCATTGTTCCTTCAATATGTATGTAGAAAATAATTTTCTGATGAACTGTAAAATTACATTTCAATTCTTTTGTGTCGTTTAATAGCGTAATAAACGAGATAATGATGGACACTCGTATGTAGGTTAAAACACAAATCACAATTAAAAAATCACTAGCATACTTTCCTCCCTAAGCTATAGTATCATAAAAATGTATGTATGTGCTATTCACGGTCTTCCTGGATAAGGGTCGCGTGTGGCAGTTTTCCAATTTAAAAACGGCTTTAAATTTGAGGTTATGAATTCAGTGCCACAAATGTAGAAGCTGCGTTGCCAAAGTTACTAAAGATCAAAAATCTGGAGCCTTAAACATATCCATCAGGAATTTGATTGCGTGGTGTATAAATTTCAATTATAATAATAATAATTATTATTAATATGTCTTGCTTATTTCTACAAAATTTAAGGGTTCTAAGTCTGCTCTTTCAGGTACATTTTTTTTTTGAAGCGCAGTGTATTTCCAAATTAGTCATTGCAGGTCAGGGTCCCGTGATTATAATACTCGCCCTGTATATAGACAGACTTCTAAAATGTTTCCAATTTAATATGTGGTATTTGATTTGGAGCAATAAGGCAAGACGGCCCATAACACTGACGATAGCAGCAGACTCGACGTTACGTCTTTAAAACAGTTTATCCAACATATAAAAACCAAACCACAATATAACAGGTTCATTATCGCCTTAAGAACGTTATTCCCAAATGGTCACTTACTTTTTTTTACATAAGGCATTAAGGAGGAAAAAGAAGTTTTCCTAAATTGGAAGAGGTCTCGTAGGATGGCAACTAGGTCGTCAGATTTCACTACACCAGATTTATTTCTTTAGATTTATTTAAAAAGTAAATTAAACGTTTGAATTTGCATTAAGTAACCATTTATAAGTACCTAATATACAAACGGGGTGGATTTGTTGTTGCTTAAACTTTTATTTTTTTTTATTTCATTAGTATTAAAAATAACACTCGGTAGATTAATGTCCATAATTAGAAAAACGAACTATGATTGTACGGTGTCCTCTGCATCGTTTAACCGAAACTGTATTTTGTCCTATGACTGGCCCAGAAGATTTTCAATATCCGTGCTCATAAGCAACTTACCATACCTACTCTTAAAACAGGTGCTCATGACAGTCGCACGTGTAAGCATAATTAAAATATTAAATATTGATAACATAACTACATCCTTATCTTTTTACGACGGAATAATCATAGTTTTTACACATCGTTGAAAATGTCAAAAAATATAACGTAAGGTGAGTGCGTGCTCTTGCAACAATTTTCCCTAAAAGCGTAAATATTTGAACAACTATTAAAGATAAAACAGTGTTTTAACTATGTGTACTTAATACAAAACTTTCAAAGTACGTACTTGGCAAAAATGGCAAACAATTCACAAATAAAAAAAAACTGAGAAATACAATTTTTTTTTATGACAACGCCTGTCGGTTAATATAAAAATATGTATACAAAAGTAAATCACGAATAAAAGAGCACGTCACACCATAAATTTGAAACAAGGTCTACTTAACAAAATGTTGAGATGAGGTCATCAAATTTTTATTGGGGACGATCACCAAAATTTAAGTTAGCGTTTTATTATCTGCACGGTATTCATAAAACACATCTAAAATTTCACATTAATCAATTCAGTAGTTTCAGGTAGGCAGAAACGGGAGACCCACTTTTGCATATTATAGACCTATGAAACAGCATTACAATTTTCTAGTTTATACTCCGAAAGTAAATATTAAATTCTGGTTATTAATATTAAACAAATATTTACTTAGTTAAAAATAATTAAAACTGATTGCAGATGAAATGGATTCAGTGGAACATTAATCATTACCAACACTATTATTAATGTTTCGAGAATGTGCCGATGAAGGTTCCCCCCACACATAATTTGGTTAACAACGTGATACCGTTTGGTATTATGTTCATTTAAGTAACACCCGACCCGACGACTGTCCGTGTTTATTAAAAAAATCTGCTTCCACGTCCAGCAACGACGTTGACGTCCTTCTGCACCTGTGCCCGGTATATCACACGTCGCGCCGAGTAAAACTATCCCCACCGTAGTTACACAAATCTCGAACGGCTTTAATTGTTTCATTTATAGTTTGAAATTATGGTTACTAAAATATCGCTATCATTTGATTTCAATAACGTCAATAATAGTGTTGATTAAATGCAAGCGTCAGCTTTCTTAATAATACTTAATAGCAACATATCTCAGTAAGAATGAATTGTGAATAATAAAAACTTTTCACATTTTCATAATTTTCACTTAGAAATATAAAAATATATTATGCTGGGTGGTAACAAAATATTCATACCATAAATTCAAAGAAGTGGTCGAAAGCAGAATTTCGAATTCGTCCTACACGTGACCGTTTTGTCCCACACATGACGGTACACTTCCCTATTTCTCATTGAACTAACTGTATTTAACTGGAACGTTGTTATAATTTTTTTAAATAAATATAAAAATCTCAGAAATCTTGAAAATAATTTGCTGCTATTTTTGATGCTCTTTGAAATAACGAACGTGTTACTTGTTGCACATACCCGGTTTTCCCCTGGGGAATCAAAAAAGTCGTTTAGGATCCAATTCGACCAACCCTATATAGAAATGACATCACCTCAGGTCATCATTTTTTGTTTCACCAATCTTTTCACATTACCTCCCACGACATCCACAACACCTTTTCTACGAAAGCGAAGCAGACTTTAATTAATATTCATGGACAATCGTTTCAAACTTTTTGTTCTTTCAGCGAAGATTGATTTATATATAAGTGGTTAGCAGAAGCAAAAATTTGCTTTTATCTATATGTGGGGTCTTAAAACGGTTGTAATATTCTCCGCAAAATTCACCAGCTGTGAATGTAAATTGCACTTCATCAACTTGTTCACAAAATCAAAAACTTTGGGATTGTGTATTGAAACAATTCGTCCAGGCTTACTTTAATCAATTTCTGTAACTGATTTCTCTTTTTCATTAAATCTTACTGCTATGGATGCATTTTTTTATTCAATCACTTCATTCATGTCACAAAAATAATCATAAAAATTGTACATGTAATTGAAAAATTTATCAGAATAAGTAATTTTTAATGAAATTTCTCACTTTCTTGATCGTAAAGATTCTTGCTTGAGCTCCTTGCTCTTGTAATTTGACACCATGTGATTTCTTCTTGTGGCCTCATCTTAAGAAGAAAAATTTTATGTCAAAGACCGACATTGTAGACCTCCAACTTTTGCAATAAGGTACCTATTATGCCCCGACTTCGACGAATATTTCCCAACTATGAAAACCGAGAATTACCTGCAGGGTCCATCTGGTTTCAACAAAATGGAGCATCACCTCACTTTGGACGCCAAGTACGGCATTACTTAAAAGAAACTTTTCCTGGAAGGTGGATAGGACGAAGAGGAGCAGTTGAGTGGCTAGCTAGGTCACCCGATCTAATCCCACTTGACTTGTGGAGTTATGTAAAAAATTGAGTTTATGTTAATAAACCGCGAAGCACTGAAGAACTCTAAGAAAGAATATTAAATGTGATTGCTGATATTCTTCCTAATCAGTGGTTGGAAGTAATTCAATTCATTTTAGTAATGAGTAATTGTAATGCA